CTCTGAGGATCCCATATGGGCTAAGGATCCTAATATCTGATGGGATCAATTTCACATTTTTAAAAAATTAAATTCTTTGGGCTGGGGATTTAGCTCAGCAGCATAAGCACCTGGCTGGCAAGCACAAGGTCATGAGTTCAATCCCTAGTACCACAAAAAAAAAAAAAAAAAAATTAAATTCTTCTAATACAATATATCAATTTTTTCAAAAACACAAAACATTTAAGCAAAACTAACTTTCTGATAAAACTAATTACATAACACCATTCATGGGAAGTGAGATTTTAAGACAAAATTGTACCATTTGAGCAATGAAAGTAAGAACCCTTAAGTGCCAGATTACATGACCAATCAAGCTTTCATCTCCTGTCTCCATTTAAGTCGGGAAACCACTGGGCTGTGGATTCAGCTCAGCAGCATACGCGTCTGCCTGACAAGTGTGAAGTAGTGAGTTCGATCCCCAGTATCAAAAAAAAAAAAAGTCTGGAAACCACAGATAAAAAGGTTTGTTGCGTTTTCAATTCCCAAATCATTGCTTAATATAAAAAAACTTTCAGAAAGAAATAATGTATTTACCCTACATCTAAGTTATAGCTCAAAATAAGATTCTATTTTAGCAGTTCACACTCAAACTCTATCAGAAAACCATTTTAATTACTCACCAGAGTCCTAAAACGTATTCTAATTAGCACTATGAAAGAAGGTAACCGCATATAACAATGCCCATTGTTCCTTCTAGAGTTGCTTGACTGTGACCCAAGTATTGAAAACTTCAGTAAAATGAACTGAAAACCAAATCATAGAAGACCAACACCTTTCTGTAAAACCTTGCTTAAAAAGTGATTAATGGTGGGGGCTGGGGATTTAGCTCAGCGGCATAAGCGATCCCTGGTACCGATAAAAAGGAAAAAGACCAAAAAAAAAAAAAAAGTGATTAATGGGGAGGCTGGGGATTTAGCTTAGCGGCGTAAGTGCCTGCCTTGCAAGCAGGCAGTCGTGAGTTCGATCCCCGGTACCGGTAAAAACGAAAAAGACAAAAAAAAAAAAAAAAAGTGATTAATGAGCAGGCCACTATAAACACTAATAACATCAAGATTTAATCACTTTCCAGGATGTTTTCTGTACAAATCTCATTTAACCAGCAGCAGTAGCTGCTGCCATGCTACTATAATGTGACAAGCTCTGGGTGCATAACATGCACACTCACGGGACCACCCCAATCTAAGAAGCACTCTTGGTTTATAATTGTCATTTCAAGGATGGACAAATGGAAACTTCGATGAATTAAATACTTAATTCGAAGCCATACAGTTGGTAAGCAGCAGAGCCTGAGCTCAGTGTAGACAGATGTAGCTGACAGCTCAGCAACTAGGGTGTGTGTGTGTGTGTGTGTGTGTGTGTGCAGACTCTAAGGCTTCGTGCTTCATGCCTCAGTCTGTGCTAAATCCCCAGGGCTTTTGAGGTTTGGGGTAGGGGCAGGGCAGTCTACCGGTTAACTCAGGGCTTTCACACTGAGCTACATCCCCAGATCATTTTAATTTTTTTTGTTTGGGAGGGGGGGTACCAGGGATTGAACTCACAACTTCACACCTGCCAGGCAAGTGCTTATGCCACTAAGCTGAATTCCCAGCCCTTAGTTTCTTATTTTTGAGATAGGGTCTCTCTAAATTGCCCAAGATGGCCTTAAACTTGAAATCCTGTTGCCTCAGACTTTCACACTGCTGGAATTACAGGTGTGGTGTGCAACACCAGGCCCAACTCTTTTTTAGTACTTTGGCCCAGGGTCTGGCTAAATTACCCAGCTTCCAGTTGTGGGGGCAGGTGGCTTATCAGCTATCATTGTGGGGTGTGGGCTAAACATTCTATCTTTTTGTGTCAGCCTCCCAGATTGTGCTGGGATCACAGGCATAGGCTGCTACAGTGGTTAATGCTCTGCTCTCAAGGGTTGTTTTCAGTTAAAATTTAAATCCCTCTTTCTCTAAGTGATGTTATTTACTTCCTCTCTATGTTAGTTTCATTGATGGAAAAAGGAAGCCTCAAGATAATAAACCTCTCATTCTAAAAGCACTTCAGTATATAAGCAAAGCAGAAAGCTCCAGAACCTTCACTTTAACTTCCAAAACAAAGTTTGAACAGCCAATCCAATCATAATGGGGGGTGGGGATTTGAGATAGGTCTCATCTCTATGTAGTTCAGGTTGGCCTATCACTACTGTGTAGCCCAGGCTGGCCTCAAATGTATGTCAAGCCTCCTGCCTCAGCCTCCCAAGTGTTGATATTACAAGCATGAACTACCACGCCTGGCAACCATAAATTCCAAGATGCCAATCTTTTGGCCCACAATTTGTCCTTCTATTTCCGAAGTCCATTGGAAAAACATAGTTGGTCCAGAAAAAGGATTGTTTGCAAAGCTTAAATTCCAGGTTTCTTAGTTTGGTAACTGAAGTGTACTTGGTGACTCTAAAATTTTAAGCACAGATCCCAAAGGAGAACAGTTCTTTTATTAGCAATCAGCTCTGAAAAATCCATTATGGGATACTAAATATAACAAAATGCTTTCTGAATTTTATAAACACATTCCCCAGATTATTTTCACACTAGTGGTTGTCTATTTATTTACAAGACAATATTTAAGCAACTGTAACATCTTGAGAGATCTTTCAAATTTGTTCTAGCTCTTTTAAAGTCCCGATCTGAAAATTGTTCTCTGGATTCTTCCACTATGAAATAAGAAAGTTCCCATTTCACAGTTCATTTCCTTAAAAAGACATCTTTGCTTTGTTATTTCTAATGTCCTTGGATTGTAACACAAGGTTATTGGCAGATCCAGAATTATGGAAGTAGGCTTTTCTTCAAACCATGCAATAGAATAGAACAGGGTTTTTTAAATTTTTTACTATATACATTCATCGAAATCAAGTAATATATTTCACAGTTTTTTAAATGTGCCCTTATTTTAAAAACCTCATAATGGCAATTCAGAAATAATGGGAGGGAGACGCTAATTACCATGTCAGGCTAACAGACTGCATCAGGCTCTGGACAGAATGAATGCACAGCTGCTGTATTCTGGGGAACCGGCACCTAGCAGACCTCACAACCCAGGCATCCTTTCACCGAGTCCTCAAAACCCACGTGCAGGGGAAACCACTGTAGAGGTGTGGCTGTCATTCCCAAGCCCTTTCGCTGGACAGCTCCTCCCTACCTACCACAGAGATGTAACATAAGTAACAACCAAGTGCAACTTCATCTCTGGAGAATGAATCCAAGAAAGCTGACACAGAGGCTAAACATTTGATTTCACCACAAACCCCCGTGCTTGTTTCTTTACTATGTCTAATTACTGTAAAGTCAGCTTTTTCTTTCTTTCTTTCTTTTTCTCTCTCTCTCTTTTTTTTTTTTTGCTGTACGGGAGATCAAACTCACAACCCTGTGCTTGCCAGGCAGGCGATTATGCCATTGAGCTAAATCCCCAGCTAAAGTCAGCTTTTTAACAGTATAGCTTGCCAGCTATCACATTTTTTCTTTTCCTTCTTTCTAGACCCACTGAGTCCCATTAACAAGTATGATCTCACCCTCAGACGGGGTCACAGAGCTTCAAGCTTCTGAACAACGTATTCTCAACTAAGTGGTACCCAAGGTGAGTATAGAGCCCTTTGGAGCTGAACCAAGACATGCAACAAAAGATTAGAGACTTCAAAGAATCATTTCTCCACAAGTAACTCCTAAACCTGTACCTCCAACCCTAATGTTTCTCCAACATATGTTCTAAATAGCAATACGGATAGCTCTTACATAATCCACTGTCAACACAGTAACTGTGTTATTTTAAACATTCCATTATCTTTCACTTGAAACATTTCTCCTAGCAAAACTGCTGCTACAACCCGTCAACAAATCACGTGCTTGATACTTCCTGGCATCTCCCTAATGTGCCTTCCCTGGTGAGCAGAGAGTACAGACTGAGTGGGCGCCACAGGCCTAGTATTAAAGCAACAGAGACTGATTGAAACCAGTGATTCTCAGCTCCAGTTGGCCACTAACCAGGTGAGAATCTGATGGTAGATCCCCCAATTATCTAGGACAGACAAGAAATTCAGATTCTCAGGAGGAGCTGTCTGACGTTTAAAGCAACATGTGGGCCTAAGAAAACATCTACAGGTCCCTCACTGGCAACACCTGAGCTAACTAACCAGGTTATTCAGGTTTAGGCTCCCTCTGTCTATTCTACCCATATCTGCGTGATCAGTTACCCAAACACACTGCTCCTGATCACAAAAATCGCAAACCTGCGGGGCACTGTGGAGCATGCCTGTAATCCCAACTCTCAGGAGGCTGAGGCAGGAGGACTGCAGCAAGTTCAGGGCCACCCTGGTCTTATGTTGTCATTCAACCTCCAAGGTAACGCAACTGCTCTCCCCCTTCCTCAGCTGCCTTTACACAAACCATGCACATCAACCAGGAATCCACTCCTCTTACCCCTCACTCCCAGTCAGCTGTGTCCCCAAGATGGCCTCCTTCTACCTTCCTTCTTTACCCCACCAATGCCCACTCCGAGCACAGGGAGAGAGCCCACCCGTTGGGAAGGGACGCCCCCCCCACCCCCACTAACGGGCTGGTCATTACGTGCAATCAACACGCTTCTGCTCAAAGCCAATGGTTCTAACTTTTAAGAAGGGGTTAAATCTCCCTGGAGACAAACCCTATAGCCTTGTCTTGACCATCCCTTCCCCCCAAAAAATAATTAACACTTTCAGAGGCAGCGCTGAGCTGGCCTTCCTCCCGGGGAGGCTGCGCGGGCCCCGTGACTGCACACGGGAGGTCTCGGGAGGCGGCCGTGCGCGACCTCCGCGGCTCCTTCCGGACCGCAGGACACCAACCCCCGCCACCCAGCCGGGTCCCGAGCCTTGGCCCGCGGCCCCAAGGACCCTCTGCGCTCCCGAGCCGGTCGGCGAAGGACGAGACAGTCCCGCTGCCGGCCGCGCCCACCCGCCGCGCTACCTTGTCCTCGGGCGGCGCGTCCGGCTCGCGGGCCGTCCTCTGCCTCAGCTCCGTCATGCTGGACACTGGCGCGTGAGGTCGCCGCGGGCCAGCAGCGCAGTCGCCGCAGCGGAGGGGTGCTCAGCAAGGGCGGCCGGGCCCGGGAGGCAACCCGCAACCCGGCTGCTAGCTTTGGCTCGGCCCCGCCCAGCGCCTCAGCCCTTTACACGGGAGCCGAGCGCAGTCAGCCTTCCCCAGCTCGCCTGTCCGCTAGCTCCCCCTCCGCAGCAGATGCTTGGAACGAGCGCGCACGCGCACTGTCGCCATCTTGGCCCGGGAGATCCGCCAATGGCACGACTACACCAGGGAGGCGTGGCGAAAGGGGCGGGACGAAGCAGAGTGGAGAGGAATGCACTGGACAGCAGCCTGAGGGGGCGGGAAGGGAGCGCGGCTCTGACCTAGATTAGCCAATGGGAGCATTTGACAGAAGGTGGGCGGTGCAAATGCCCCAGGTTTTGGAAGTAAAAGGTTACTGGAGGCAAGAGAAGATCCCTCCAGGGCTCAATCTCTGCCTGTACTTGCTACCTTCGCTTTCTAGGCGTCCACAGGTAGGGCTTTTCCCTCGCATACTTCAGAAAGGTAGGATTCGGGCATGGTGGTACAAATTTATAATCCTAGCACTCGAGAGGCTGAGGCAGGATTGCCATAAATTCGAGGTCAGTCCTGGCTACACTGTGAATTTAAAGCTAGCCTGAAGCTCATAGCAAGACACTGTCTCAAAAAACAAGTAAAGGGATCCCCGGTACAAAAAAAAAAACAAAAACAAAACACAAGTAAAAACAAAAAGGAACGTTTGTCAGATTCTCACTGAAGAGGCCAACTGTGCCAATCTGATTAAGAAGAGAGTATCATATACTAAAGTAAAACCCAAACTTCAGTCCACATTGCTTTGCCAAGGGGTCTCTAGTAATTATTGAGCACTTACTGTGTGCTAGGCACAGAGCTGAGTAATCGTTTATTGGTTTACCTCATTTATTCCACATATTACTTGGATCTGATTTTCATTTTACAAGTAAGAGCACCTGCAGTCTTTTGAATGTTTTGTCTTCTAGGGGTTTTATTTTGTTTTGTTGCTGGGGATTTAACTCAGAGACTAATGCATGCTAAGTTCAGATTTACCACTGAGCTGCAGCCCCAGCTCTGGGATTGTTGAAGGACCTTTTTGGAGACAAAAATGCAGCTTGCTTCGTTTACTGTAGATTCCCTGTATGCCAGACACATCCTAAGTACTATTTATTGGATGGACTTTTAAGAAACGGCTTAGCCAAGATCAGTGGTTAGGCCTGGTGTGGGGGCACATGCCTGTGATCCCAGCACTTGGGCTGGGCAGGCAGACTATTAGGCTCAAGGCCAGCCAGGGCTGCATAGTACATTCAAAGACAGCCTGAACATAACAAGACCCTGTCTCAAACAAACAAACAAAAAAAAACCCAGCTGTTAAAAATGTCTATAAGGGGGCCAGGGATATAGCTCAGCAGCACAAGCACCTGCCCAGCAAGTGCAAGGTCCTGAGTGTGGTACCAAAAAAAAAAGAAAAGTCTGGTAAGCATTAGACTGTAGAGCCAGGCATGCAGCTGTAATCCCAGCACTGTGAGAGGTTAAAGCAGAAGGATCACAAATTCAAGGCCACTCTGAGTAACTTAAGGAGAACTTGTGTTATGGTTTGTATCTAGATGTCTCCCCAAAGCCTCATGTACTCATAGGTGGGACTTTTCCAATGTGGCAATGTAGAGTGTGTGAATGTGGATTAAAGGTGTGTAATCACTAAATTAGTTCACTGACTGGTTAAGCATAATTCCAGTGTGAATAATGGAAAGGCCCACCCTGTGGCACCACCTAATAGGCCATAGTCTGGATGGAATAAAAAGGGAGAGAAGACAGGAGGAGCACTTTTTTCTGCCTGCCTTGCCATGAACTGTTTCTCTTCTGCCAAGCCCTTGTGCCATGCTGCCCTGCTTTGGAGCCAGCCAGTGGTTTGAAACTTCTATAAACTGTGAACTAAACTTCTTCAATTTGTGGGCATCAGATATTTTGTCCCAGCAACAAAAGTAACTAAGACATCCTGTCTCAAATTTGTAAAAGAGAAAGACTGACGATGTAGCTCAGTGGTAGAATGCCATCAAGTTTGATCCCCAGTGCCAAAATAAAATAGAACATACTTCTCATAAGATCACACTCTAACCACCGCCCTATACTGCCCTAAAACAGATTTTTTTTTTTTGGTCTTTTTCCTTTTTATCGGTACTGGGGATCGAACTCACGACTGCCTGCTTGCAAGGCAGGTGCTTATGCCTCTGAGCTAAATCCCCAGCCCCCCTAAACAGATTTTTGAGATAGTGTCTCACTATATATTCCAGGCTGTCCTTGAATTCATCATCCTCCTGCCTCAGCCGCCTCAGTGCTGGGATTACAGGCTTGGATAACCACACTCAGCCTTTGAACAAACCTCTCTCTCATCTGTCACTATCAGCTCTTCTGGGTTAACTGAGCTTGGACTAAATATATTCCTGAAGTCAGGACTGTGAAGACCAAGATGTGTCAAGCTACCTAGGCACCTCAAGAAGTCATGTTGAGGCCTGGGGATTTAGCTCAGCAGCATAAGTGCCTGCCTGGCAAGTACGAGGTTGTTAGTTCGATCCCCAGTACCAAAAAATAAAAAAAGAAGTCATGCTGATAACCCTTTAGGTCAGCTTTCTGGCCTTTCTCAACAACTGCAGAAAGAAGTTAAAAATCTCCAACCCAAAGAATTTTGTTCCTTTATGTCACCCTATATCTCCCCTCTATTCTTTATTTTCTTTTGTGTTCCTTATATTAACTCTTAGGTGGATGTGGTATCCCATGCCTATAATACCAGCATTCTGGAGGCTGCAGGCAAGAGGTAAAAACCCTAAATTTGAGGCCAACCTGGATTACACAGTGAGCCTCTGTCTCAAAACAAAACAACCATTTTCTTTCAGAGTCACTTCCTCCAGGCTTGGGGGCATATCTGTACACAGAGATTTCATTGCACTCCTTGGTTAGTTCCATTCTTTTTAAGCATTATGTTGAGTAATGGAAATAACCAGCATAGGATTCTTAGGCCCGCAGAATGCATAAGCTGACTGCAACCCCAGGACAAGAGGTCAGTGAGTGCTGCAATCACCATTCTATAATAAGAGCACCTGCCTTCATCCTGACACTGGAAAACTGCAGGGGCACAGGGAGCACAAAGATCCTCCAGTCCCCTGAACAATGATTTTCCTCTCTGAGTGAATTACCTCAACTGAATCCTTCCTAATGTCAGGGAGGTGATTAGACATTATAGGACTAGAGGGATAAACAGGAGGTCCAAAATAACATGCTTTGCCAGGTATAGTTAAATAAATTAAAATTAAAAAATGGATTTGGTTATACTCATGTGACTGCATGGCACCCAATGGCAAGCTAGCTTTCTGTGTTCCTGTTACAGCTTGCTGTGCACAATGCATTTGCTCCCCAGACCAAGCACCTGCAGCCCAAAAGACACACCTGGTCCTTGATGGGGCCAGTGCATCTCTTCAGACTCTCTGGCAAGTACTTCAACCTGGTGGAGTCCACTTATAGGTATGAATTCTGCCTGTTCCACAGTGACCTGGCATTAGCAGCCCTTTGGCTGAGACATCTATATTGGGGTCCTTGGCATCGGCATGAGTGGAAGATCACCAACAACACCTTCAGGGTCATGCAGATGAGGGCTGGTGACTCCTGCCATGCCTGAAGCCAGCAGTGCAAGGTGGAGCTTACCTGTAGGAGGAGCAATAGAGTGGCCCATGTGTCTGAGCCAATCACGTGTGTCTATGTGCTGATGTTGCTAACACCCCTTGCCTGCCACCCCACTCTCTATTACCCAGCCCTGCTGGGAGCTCTGCAGCACAGGGGCAGGCAGGTGAAGCAGGACCTGTATGGTGAGCTCATCACCACCCAGGGCCATGAAAAGCTGCAGAGGGAGCTTTTTGAGGACACTGGCTATGTAAAGGCCCCAAGAGAAAAGAAACCCACACTGCAGGAAGGAGCACCTAGGAGTCTAGGGACTGGGACTCTGTAGAACTACAATCAGGCATGTTCAGAGCTGTGAGGGGAAACACAGAGTCTCAGCAGTCTTCAAGCCTGTGTGGCAGCCCCACGGGAGGCCCACAGAAACCTCCCACACTGAGCACTCAGCCCAACAGTCCCCACAGACATGACTTCAGAGCAACTGTGAGGATCTGGGCTTCTATGGGGACAACTGATGGTGGAGTAGACACAAGGGGTCAATGAAGAACATCTGTCCAGACTTGGGCTGAGACACTTCTCTTGCCAAACCTGCTGAGCCAGGTAGGGATATGGAAGGACTCTCTGGCCTGACTTCGTTGTACTCAAGAGACACAAATACAAATTCAAAGTTTTAATTAATTCCCATACTGATAAATGCAATAGTGTAAAAAAGTTTATTTATTTATTTATTTGGTCTTTTTGAGACAGGGTCTCCCTATGCAGTTCGGGCTGGCTTTGAGCTCACTTCGAGCCAGGCTGATCTCGAACTTGCAAGAATCCTCCTGCATCAGCCTCCCAAGTGCTTGGATTTCAGGTGTGCACCACCACGTCCAGCTAAAAAGGGTTTAAACAAGTGTCAACATTTTTTTTTTGAAACAGGGTCTCACTTTGTAGTTTAGGCTGCCCTTGAACTCACTTATGTAATCCAGGCTGGTCTCAAACCCACAACGATCCTCTGACCTCAGCCTCCAGAATCTTGCCACACTAAGGCCTTGCACACCCATCCTGATCCCAGGAGTGGGTGCTCAGGGCTGAGCACCCACTGTGGGATGCAGTTGCCAGCTCCCAGCCATTGCTGCGACCCTAAAACATTAGCTGTGGCGAGGCGCTCTAGAGCATCAGCTATATCCCACAGGAAGAATGAGCAGAGTAGCTTACAGACAGATCTGAAGCTTGATGGTTCTTATTCACTTGAAAATGTCTAGGCTCTCCAGCATAGTGAAAAGAAAACCCACAAACTGGGAAAAGATTTTAATGAACTCTCTCTCAGACAAGGGACTCTTATCTAAAACATACAAAGAATTAAAAAAAAAACTCAGACCCCCAAAATTCAAAGATCCAATCCAAAAATGGGCAGCTGAGATGAATACACAATTCTCAGATGAAGAAATATAAATGGCAAATAAATACATGAAAAAATGTTCATCATCATTGGTCATTAGAGAAATGCAAATTAAAACCACACTGAGATTC